GCTCACACACCCTTCCCAGCCTCTGTTCACCCCCCACTGCTCACATCCCCTTCCCAGCCTCTGTTCACCCCCCACTGCTCACACACCCTTCCCAGCCTGTGTTCACCCCCCACTGCTCACACACCCTTCCCAGCCACTGGTAGCTATCATTCTACTCTACCTCTATGACATCAACTTTTAAGCAGATGCACGTAAGTGACACATTTGTGTTTCCATGCCTGGCTTACTTTGTTTAACAAAATGACCTCTAGTTCCATCCATGTTAATGCAAATGGCAGGGTTTTATTTTTGTGTGTGACCAAATTGTATTTTTCTTTTTGAGACGGAGTCTCACTCTTGTTGCCCAGGCTGCAGTGCAGTGGCACAGTCTCAACTCACTGCAACCTCTACCTCCCGGGTTCAAGTGATTTTCTTGCCTAAGTCTCCTCTCCCAAGCAGCTGGGATTACAGGCATGTGGCACCATACCTGGATAATTTTGTATTTTTGGTAGAAATAGGTTTTTCCCATGTTGGCCAGGCTGGTTTCAAACTCCTTACCTCAGGTGATCCACCCACCTCAGCCTCCCAAATCCATATATCTGCTGATGGACACTTAGCTTGATTCCATATTTTTGCTGTGGTGAATACTGCTTCAGTAAACACAGGGATGCAGAGTTCTCTTCTATATACGGATTTTTTTTTCTTTGGGTATATACCCAGTAGTGGCATTGCTGGATCATATAGTAGTTCCATTTATAGTGAAAACAAAGAATGAGAGAAAGAGAGGAAGGATGGGTTAGAGAAAAGAATTAAAGGAGGGATTAAAAAAAGAGTGACTAGAATCATAATATATCTTAAGTTTCCATATCTTAGCTGCTGTAAATAATGCTGCAGTGAACACAGAGCATCACACTTCCTGATTTAAAACTATATTACAAAGCTCTGGTAATCAATATAGTGTGGTACCATCCTAGAAACAGAAGCATAGACCAGTGAAACACAATACAGCTCCCAGAAATAAATCCAAACATTCATGGTTAGCTGTTTTTTTGAAAAGGGCACCAAAAGGGCATAATGAGGAAAAAAATCATCTCTTTGCTAAATGATTCCAGGAAAACTGAACTTCTGTATGCAAAAAATGACATTGGATCAATATCTTACACTATACCAAGAAACCAACTCAAAATAAAAAAAAAACCCGACCCTAAAAGTAAGACCTGAAACCATAAAAATCCAAGAAGAGAAACTAGAAAGTTTCTGAACAGCAAATTACATAATTTTATTCTTCTTTATGGCCAGATAGTATTCCATAACGTATATGTACCATATTTCTTTGTTTTCTTTCTTTTTTTTTTTTTTTTGAGATGAAGTCTCAGTCTGTCGCCCAGGCTGGAGTGCAATGGCGCGACCTCGGCTCAGTGCAAACTCTGCCTCCTGGGTTCAAGCGATTCTCCTGTCTCAGCCTCCCAAGTAGCTGGGACCACATGTTCACCACTATGCCTGGCTAATTTTTGTAATAATTTGCCGTTCAGAAACTTTTTAGTTTTAGATCAGACAGGCACCACTTTTAACTCTAGGAATGTTGATGTTTCAAGGAGGGAGGAACTGTGACTCTCTCTCTTGTGTAAGCCTGAATCTGGAGAGTTCTCCTCCTGTGGGGGTGAAGTCACCCCAAATTGTTCCAGGAAGGCTGTCTATAGGTGCCTCTGTGCTGTATTTCCTTGGGAGTAGCCCCAGCTCTGTCTGCAGTGGTATACCAGGGGTGAACAAGGACCACTTCTCGTAAACTCTTTATGGTCACAGAGGCCATCTGCCTGCTGGAGCAGAGACGAAGACTTTCCCTCTGCGCCCAGCACTGCCACTGTGTCTCTCTGCTGCAAAAACCCCCTAGCAGTGAAAATACCTGAGACTCAAGGCCTGCCATTTGGATTCTGTTGTCCCATGGGGTGGTCCCTTGATGTGGTGCTCTCTCCCTTCTCCTAGGAATGAGACTTTCTGACAGCCAGACAACAGTGCTTGTCATCGGTCCTGTGGGTCTAGCAACCCAGCGGGGCTACCAGACTCTGGGCTTGTGCTGGAGACTGTCTGCAAGGAATCTGCTGATGTGACCTGTCTTCGGGTCTCCCAGCAGTAGACAGCAGCACCAGCTCTGTGAGGTGGCAGGGGCAGGATGTAGACTCTGAGATTCCTTGGTTGTAGATAGGCTTAGCATGCTGGCTTTCATGACTTTGGGTTAGAGTTGTAATGAACTTGTCATGTGGGTAGACTCAGGACCTCTGGTTAGCCAGGGTGTTGAACCCCATGGTGGTAGCTGAGGTTGCGCAGCCATTGTCTCCTCGGTGCGGTGTTATTCTACTTAGAGTGACTGTAATGGATTGCATTGTTTGGCTGCCAGCCAGGAGGTGGCACTTGCAAAAGAGCACCAGCTGTGGTAGTAGCAGTGGGATTTGAGCTTGCCCTAAGTTGCCCAGGGAAAGTATTCTGATTTCTCAAGTGATGGGCAGGGCTATTAAACTCCCAAAAGTTTTATGTTATTTGTGTTAAGCTACTGGGATGGGTGGAGGGATACCACCAGGTGGAGACAGGGTTAGGTGGGTCTGTGGTCTGACTGTCCCCGGGCAGGGAAGGACACCACCCCTGTAATGGTCGGGGTGTGGTTCTCAGGCTGCTGGGGCAGTGTTCCAGAGGGGAGTAATACTGTCTCTGCTGCACTGAAGAGTTGGCAAAGGGAGTAGGAAGCAAGCCTCAACTAGCTCCCATGCAGGCGGCTAGGCTTGTCTCACTCCTGCAGTGCTCTGCTAATAATGCTGGACTTAGATCCAGGTGGTCTGTGCACAGAACTCAGACCTGCCCCAGGCCATAAGCTTCCCCACAGAGATAGCAAGCCTGGCTTTTAGGCCATGCCCTCCCCATCTGCCCACAAAACCAGCTGCCTACCTCCTGTACTAGCATCTACTAGCTCACTACCCACCCCTAATGCCCTTTTGCTGCTTTCTGATCTGGGGAGTTTATCCCTATTACAGATTTTGCCACAGAAAAATTCAGTTAGGAGCCTCTTTCTGTGACCCCTCCGTGAGCTTCTTGGCTGATTTCCCTGAGGGCCCCTGTTAGATATAGTCAGGAATGGCTTCCCTCAGTTAATGCTGGAGAACTGGGTATGCCTGCAGGGCACTTACCACCCACTGCTATCTCTACTTTTTTTCTCTTTTTTGAGACAGGGTCTTGCTTTGTCACCCAGGCTGAAGTGCAGTGGTGCAATCTCAGCTCACTGCAACCTCTGCCTCTCAGACTCAGGTGATCCTCCTTCCTCAGCCTCCTGAGTAGCTGGGACTACAGGCATGCACCATCATGCCTGGCTGATTTTTGTATTTTCTGTAGAGACATGGTTTCAGCATGTTGCCCAGGCTGAACTGCTGCTTCTACTTTTATGTTTCACACTGCTCCCTGGAGCCATTTGAGCTCTAGGTAGGGTAAGGGACTTCTCCCAGGGCCTGGATTTTCAGATTCCCTAGTGGGGATGTGTACCCTGGCAACAGACTGTCTTCCTCTCACACTCTGGGGACTTACACTTTTTTTGCCTGCCTCAGGGATACTTCTTTCAAAGGGTCTGTGGATACTTTCGGTTTTTCTATTAAGTTCCTGCACTGGTTCTTGGAAAGAAATTCACAGCCTCAATCTCTACACACTATTCTGTCCTTCCAAGTGGAACAGGCGTGCTAACACTGCCTTCGGTCTTCCGTCTTAGAAAAAAACGGTTCTGTCATTTTCTCCACTCTTTTTCTATTTTTTGTGTGTGCGTTTTTCTAGTTTCTATAGACTTAACCTTCAAATTCACTGATACTGTCCACACAGTTGAGTCTACTGATTAGCTCATAAAAGGTATTTTTTGTATTTGTCAATGCATTTCATTTCTAGTGTTTTCACACGATTTTCTTATAGTTTCCATCTCTCTGCTGAAATTAGTCATCTGGTCTTGCACATTGTGCATATTTTCTATCAGGATTTTAACATATTAATCATAGATACTTTAAGTTCCTTATCTGATTGTTGCAACATCTGCGTCACATGTGAGCCTGGTTTCACAACTGCTTTCATCTTTATCTTTCTTTGTCTCCCTAAATATCTTTATTTCCTCCTTCTTAACCTTTGTAATTTGGGGACTGAAAACTGGACATGTTATGCAGAATCAAAGAAACTGAGATAAGTAGATTTCATGTCTGAAAACTGAGACGCCCTTTCTTTTACTGGGCCTTTAGTACAGAGGTTTGTGTTTCTTGGAAGCTGGGCTTGAGATCTGATGTTGCTGTAGTGTGATTCTTACTACCCTATGGGCTTTGGGTTTTTTTGTTTGTTTTTTCTTTGAGACACAGTTTGGCTCTTGTTGCCTAGGCTGGAGTGCAATGGCATGATCTTGGCTCACTGAAACCTCTACCTTTTGGGTCCAAGTGATTCTCCTGCTTCAGCCTCCTGAGTGGCTGAGATTACAGGCATGTGCCACCACGCCCAGCTAATTTCATAATTTTAGTAGAAACAGGGTTTCTCCATGTTAGTCAGGCTGGTCTTGAACTCCTGACCTCATGTGATCTGCCCACCTCGGCCTCCCAAAGTGCTGGGATTACAGATGTGAGCCACCGCGCCTGGCCTACCCGATGGGCTTTGAATGCCTCTGGTGATACCTTGTATTGAAGGTAGGGGTTAGTTTGCCAGAGGATGTTTTTCTGATGATAATTCCACCCTTAACCTTAAGTTTTCCTTTTGTTCTATGCCTCAGAAAGAGTAAGTCTCTTGCAATATTTCTTGCAAAGAAGATGTATCTTGACAGCAGTCACTCTGGTGGTGGGGGTGGGTGAGAATACTTTTTTATGTAATTGCCACTCCTAGACAAGCACTCTGCTTCTGGGCCCCAGGGGTATGACCTTCTCTTTCTCTTCCTCTGACACGGCTCTGAATCCATTGTGAATTTCTGCACATCTTCTAAGATTTCGGGCTTTTTCTGCGTGTGTTCTCTACTTCCAGCAGCAATGTGCTTTCAGCAGTGCCCTAAGAGAGTGCTTCTGGGCTCTGCAACCGCGGACGAAGGCGTTTTACTCTGCAGAGGAGAAAAGTCTCAGGGCAGCTTCTCGCCAGCATCCCAGCATCGCTGCTCTCGCATCTCCCAGTTCTGGACCTTGAGAGAGACTGTTTTCAGGGTTCTATCAATCTCTCACTGAACGTCTGCGTGGGTTCAAGGAGAAAACGTCTTCAAAGAGCTACAGATTATTTCTTGTTCTACAAAGAAGATACATGCACACTTGCTCGTTCTCTCCCTTCCTCCCTCCCTCCCTTTTTTCCTTTCTTCCTTCCCTCCTTTTTCTTTCTTCCCTCCCTCCCTCCTTCCTTCCTTTCCTTCCTTCTCTCTCTTTCCTTCCCTCCCTCCCTCTTTCCCTCCCTTTCTCTCTCTCTCTCTCTCTCTCTCTCTCTCTCTCATTCATTTCACTCTTGTTGTCAAGGCTGGAGTGCAATGGCGAGATCTTGGCTCACTGCAACCTCCACCTCTTAGGTTCAAGAGATTCTTCTGCCTCAGTCTCCCGAGTAGCTGGCATTATAGGCATGCACCATCACTCCTGGCTAATTTTGGATTTTTAATAGAGATGGGGCTTCCCCATGTTGAACAGGCTGGTCTCAAACTCGCATCTTGACCTTACATGATTCACCTGCCTTGGCCTCCCGAAGTGCTGGGATTACAGGCTTGCCCAGCCTATTTTCTTTTATTTTTTAATTTGAGACAGAGTCTCACTCTGGTGCCCAGGCTGGAGGGCAATGGGGTGATCTTGGCTCACTGCAACCTCCACCTCCTGGGTTCAAGCGATTCTTGTGCCTCAGCCTCCAGAGTAACTGGGTTATAGGCATGTGCCACCGCGCCCAGCTAATGTTTGTATTTTTTGTAGAGAAAGGGTTTTACTTTGTTGGCCAGACTGGTCTCAAACTCCTGACCTTAAGTGATCTGCCCACCTCGGCCTCCTGAAGTGCTGGGATTCCGGGTGTGAGCTGCCAGGCCTGGCCTGCACTTGCTTTGATCTCAGCACTATTCACAATAGCTAAGACATGGAATCAGCCTCGGTGTCCATGAACAGCAGAGTGGATTAAAAATGCCGTATGTATACAGTGTGGGACACTATGCAGCGAGGAAAACATGAAATATGCCCTTTACAACAACACGGATGCTGCTGGGGCCATCATCCTCAGCAAATCAATACAGGAACAGAAAACCAAATACCACATGTTCTCACTTATAAGTGGGGGTAAATAGTGGGTACTCAGCGACGTATAAGTATGAGACTGATGCCACAGACAGCAACAACGAACACTGAGGCCTACCAGAGGGTGAGGGAGGGAGGGCTGAGAGCAGAAAACCTACCTACTGAGTACTATGCTCAGTACCTGGATGGTGGGATCACTCCCATTCCCGAGTGTAGTACTATGCTCAGTACCTGGATGGTGGGATCACTCCCATTTCTGAGCGTAGTACTATGCTCAGTACCTGGATGGTGGGATCACTCCCATTTCCAAGCGTAGTACTATGCTCAGTACCTGGATGGTGGGATCACTGCCATTCCTGAGCGTAGTACTATGCTCAGTACCTGGATGGTGGGATCACTCCCATTTCTGAGCATAGTACTATGCTCAGTACCTGGATGGTGGGATCACTCCCATTTCCAAGCGTAGTACTATGCTCAGTACCTGGATGGTGGGATCACTGCCATTCCTGAGCGTAGTACTATGCTCAGTACCTGGATGGTGGGATCACTCCCATTTCTGAGCGTAGTACTATGCTCAGTACCTGGATGGTGGGATCACTCCCATTTCCAAGCGTAGTACTATGCTCAGTACCTGGATGGTGGGATCACTGCCATTCCTGAGCGTAGTACTATGCTCAGTACCTGGATGGTGGGATCACTCCCATTCCCGAGCATAGTACTATGCTCAGTACCTGGATGGTGGGATCACTGGCATTCCCGAGCATAGTACTATGCTCAGTACCTGGATGGTGGGATCACTCCCATTCCCAAGCATCAGCGTCATGCAGCATTCCCGCGAAACAAACCTGCATACCTACTCCCTGAATCTAAAAGTTGAAATTACAAATAAAAATTATATGCACACATTAAATCAAACCTTAATAGATTAAAAATATAATTCATACGCCGGGCGCGGTGGCTCAAGCCTGTAATCCCAGCACTTTGGGAGGCCGAGGCGGGTGGATCACGAGGTCGAGAGATCGAGACCATCCCGGTCAACATGGTGAAATCCCGTCTCTACTAAAAATACGAAACATTAGCTGGGCATGGTGGCGCGTGCCTGTAATCCCAGCTACTCAGGAGGCTGAGGCAGGAGAATTGCCTGAACCCAGGAGGCGGAGGTTGCGGTGAGCCGAGATCGCGCCATTGCACTCCAGCCTGGGTAACAAGAGCGAAACTCCGTCTCAAAAAAAAAAAAAAAAAAAAATATATATATATATATATATATAATTCATATACCCTGTATTCTCTTGTTAGAATCACGAATTTTTAAATAAGGAAAAATAAAAACCAAGCCAACAAACAAAAAAAAGCAGCTACAGATGATTCCTGTGTACGGCTCAAAGTTTTTACTCTTCTGCAAAGAGATGTTCTAGCAATTTGCTCCTGCTTTGGAACTCTTACCGACATCTGCATCTTTCTTGCTTAGAAAAGTTGATGTTCACATTTTGTCTTTTCCTGTGGGTTCCTGTCCCTCCTTCGATTCTGGAACAATTGGTTGACCTGAAACATCAGTACTAAGATGAGTTTTTAAAAAGTTGTGGGCTGGGGGCAGTGGCTGATGCCTGCAATCTCAGCACTTTGGGAGGCCAAGGAGAGCAAATCACGAGGTCAAGAGAAAAAGCCCATCCTGGCCAACATGGTGAAACCCTGTCTCTACTAAAAATACAACAATTAGCTGGGTGTGGTGGTGCGCACCTGTAGTCCGAGCTACTAGGGAGGCTGAGCCAGGAGAATCACCTAAATCTGGGAGACAGAGGTTGCAGTGAGCCAAGATCGCACCACTGCACTCCTGCCTGGGCAATAGAGCGAGACGCTGTATCAAAAAAAAAAAAAAAAGGTTGTGATCTTGCCTTAGTCCATTACTTTATTCCTGTACTGGTAGTAGTGTTTTTTTTTTTTTTCTGCTCTTCACATCTCTGAGCAGAAGCTAGAAATGAATATAACTGATTTTTGTATATTGACTTCATGTCTTGTAATTTTGATATATTCTCTTGGTAGTTCTGGTAGATGCTCTGTAGATTCTTGCATATTCTCTACCTTTTTAAAATATAAAATAACAAACTGTTTTGAATATTACGCTTTTTGTTTGCCTGATTGACTGCTGAAAACCTCCAGTACAGCTGGGCGCAGCGGCTCGTGCCTGTAATCCCAGCATTTTGGGAGGCTGCCTGCAGATCACTTGAGGTCAGGAGTTTGAGACCAGCCTGACCAACATAAAGAAACTCCGTCTCTACTAAAAATACAAAATTAGCCAGTCGAGTGCCTGTAATCCTAGCTACTCAGGAGGCTGAGGCAGAAGAATCACTTGAACCTGGAAGGTGGAGATTGCAGCGAGCTGAGATCGCACCACTGCACTCCAGCCTGGGCAACAAGAGTGAAACTCTGTCTCAAAAAACAAAACAAAACAAACAGAACGTCCAGTACAATGTACAAAATTGGCAAGAGCTGACATCTCTGCTTTATTTTCAATCTTGTGAGGAAAGCAATCAGATGTTTACTAGTAAGTATGATGTTAGATTTAAATATTTTTAATATAATTTTTATCAGATTGAGGAAGTTCTCCTGAATTCTCATTTTACTAATAGACTTTAAAAATCACAAATGGATATTCAATTCGTCAAATATAATATTTTTCATTTATTGAGTCAGTCATAGAGTGATTTTTCTTTATACTAATACTGATCTTTTAGTTTCTAATTTTTTTGAGACAGGATTTTACTCTGTTACCCAGGCTGCAGTGCAGTGGCACAATCATGGCTCACTGCAAACTCTTAACGCCTGGGTTTAACTCCTGCCTCAGCTTCCGGAGTAGCTGGGACTATGAGCGTGCACCACTACACCCAGCTATTTTTTTTAATTTTTATTTTCAGTAGAGACAGGGTTTCACTATGCTGCCCAGGCTGGTCTTAAACTCCTGAGCTGAAGCGATCTTCCAGCCTCAGCCTCCCAAAGTTCTGGGATTACAGGTGTGAGCCACCATGCTCAGCCCTTAACTTTTAATTTTTGTGGGTACATAGGTCTATATATTTTGGGGGCACATGAGATACTTTGTTATAGGCATGCAGTGTGCAATAATCATATCAGGATAAATGGGGTATCCACTACCTCAAGTATTTTTCATTTCTTTGTGTTAGAAACATTTCAATTGTACTCTTCGTTCTTCTAAAATGTACAATCCACTGTTGACTATAGTGACCCTGTTGTGCTATCAAATACTGGGCCTTATTCATTCTGTCTAACTATACCCTTGTGCCCATTAACCATCCCTTCACCACCCCCATGACCCTTCTTAGCCTCTGGTAACCATCCTTCCACCCTCTGTCTCCATAAGTTCAACTGCTTTAATTTTTAGCTCCTGCAAGTGAGAACACGTGAAGTTTGTCTTTCCGTGCCTTGCTTATTTCATTTAACATGATGTTAGGTTCCATCCATGTTGTTGGAAATGACAGGATCTCATTCTTTTTCATGGCTGAGTAGTACTCCATTGTGTGTATCCACCACATTCGCTTTGTCCTTTCATCTGCTGATGGACACTTAGGTTGTTTCCAAACCTTGGCTATTGTGAATAGTGCCCCAGTAAGCGTGGGAGTGTAGATGTCTCTCCGATGTACTGATTTCTTTCTTTCGGGTATATACCTAGCAGTGGGATTGCTGGGTCAAATGGTAGTTCTATTTTTAGCTTTTTGATATATCTCCATACCGTTCTCCATTCTCATTCACATTCCGACTAACAGCGTAAGAGGGGTCTCTTTTTTTTGCATTCTCACCAGCATTGTTATTTCCTGTCTTTTGGGTAAAAACCACTTTAACTTGGTGAGATGATGTACCATTGAGGTTTGCTTGCAGTTTCTCTGATGGTGAATGATATTGAGCATCTTTTTATATGCCTGTTTGCCATTTGGATGTCT